CTCCACGCCCCTGGCGTGGAGTGTGCGGGTGTGAGCGCGCGTGTGTGGCTCGGTGCGCGGCTCTGCGTGTGCGTGCCCAGAGAGTAAAGGCTAGGCTGCCGACCGCGGCTGGTCCACGCGAGCGCGTGCACGCAAGCGCGAGCCAAAGCGAGTGAGTGCACGGCTGTGCGCGCGAGCCTGCCCGGAAAGTATCTGTGAGTCTCTCTGTGTGTATGCAGAGGTGTGCACGTCTTTGTGCAGTTGTGCGTGTGTGCGCACAGCCGTGGGTGCGAGCGCGTCTCCCGCGCACGCCAGGGCTGGCCTTTGTGTCCGCGGGTAGATAAAAGCGGAAAATCCGCAGACTCTGAGGCCCAGCCACAGCGGCGCCCCTGCGTGAGGACAGCGAGAGATTCCAGAAGCCTAGCCAGGCCTTCGCCCTTTGCTCCACCCTCCCCGCCCCCGCCCTTCTGGAGAGATACCACCCAACTGCAGAACGGGGACAGGAAGAAGGGGTGGGGGCGGGCAGCGGACTGCAACTCTGAAGAGCTAAGGAGAGTGGAAAGGGTATGGGAGGGGCAGGCAGAAAGAGGAAGCGGTGAGAACTGGAGATAAGGTAGGGACAGAGAGATGACCACCGTTGGTGGCCGATAACGTCGTCGTTGTTAGCACCCAGGCCTACCTTGGTTGCCTGCAATGGTGACTCTGAACACTAGCCATCTCGGATCCCATTCCATGCGTATTGGCTGGGTCCTAAGACCAGCAGGTGACCTGTCCACGGGTTGAAGGGACTTACTTGTTCTTGTGAGCAGGCTCCTGAATACAATAGTGTCCAACAGAGTCTACTGTCTGCAGTTTTCTTGGTATCCTTGGAAATCTTGACTTTCCTCAAGTTCCATACCACGCCAGAAGCTGCAAGCAGGTGAGGTTTAGGAGGGTGGAATCCAAAGGCTAAGGAGGGGTAGGGAAGGGTTTGGGGTTTTAACTTGATTTCTCCTTTCAGGGAGCTTCTTGCTTTATAGGCAGTTGAAGAATGTGAGGTCTTTCTCACCCCATCACTGTTGGGGTTTGACTAATTGGCCTGATAGGTCTCTAATATCGGAGTATTAACGATAGGAAAGGAAGCTATCATTTACTCTGATGCAATTGCGGCTCTGGAAACATCTCCTGTAATTATGTTCAGAAGCAGTTACCTATGATGCTGTTTACATAGAGTGTGCTGTTTATAGAGTTGGTAATAATATCCTAGGATAATGACTATAATTATGTCCAGATTGGGGAGGGGTAGGTAGAGGCTAATGGACAGGCAGGGTGGTCCACGTCTGGGCAATAAGAGCTGGGAGAAAATAGATTAAGGTCTGGAACTTTCACCTGCCCTTTCTTCGTGCCTGGGTTCTTCCCCTGCCCCAACCAGGGCTGAACCGGAAGCCACCTGCTCCTTCTATAGGAGTAGGGGAATCTTGAAAGGAACAGAATAGAATCCTCTGTTGATAGCGGGAAGCTCACTTTGTGAACCCAAACGACCGATAACCTGGTCTTGTACTCTCCACACAGGCTTCCTCCGAACCCGAGGCTATCAATCCAGTGCCCAGTGCTAATTCTCAGAGCATTCAGGGAAATTCGTCATTCTACTCCATAAGTATCTGCGGTTATGTTACTACAACAATGTTTTAGACGACTTTCCCCATAAAACAAACAGCCCAGAAAGGTGCCCAGATGGTTCCAGGTAGCCCCCACCCCCACGGAGCTCTTCCTGGACAGGCTTTGGAAAACAAGACTCTAAACACTGAGGAACATGAACAGATTGGTAGATGGCAGACTTAACATGAAAGATGTCAAGTGCAGGCATCCTTCTATAAACCCCATAGAGGGGTGGATAGTGAGCCTGGTGCTACTGGGCACATCTGTGAGCTAGCTCCTCTGCTGCCTTTTCTGAAATGAATGATCGAACTGGTGCTTAAAGAAACTAAGTCACTGTCCCAAATCCATAGCCTGCTCTTGACCTTGGCCCCTAACCTCCCTTTCTCCAGTTTTCCTCCAAGGGATGCTAACACAGAGCAAAGCCAGAATTCAGCTCACTTTTCATTCAGTGACTGTTTACTGTGCCTGTTGTGGTTCTGGAGAATTTACAGGTCAGTAGCAAATAGGGCAGAGTCTTCAGTGCAGGGAGTGCCCTAGAATAGGGCGTGGGGCGGGGTAAGAGGGCGCTTTCCTTTCATCTGTGAGGCCTAAGGAAAGCACTTAGCACTCATTCAATAATCAGAATTAATAAAGCTGCAAAGGCGATCACGAGAACTCCCCGCCAGGAATCTAGTTTTAATGATAAGTATTATGAAAGAAACCAAAACGTAGTGGTTGAGGTTAATGTCCTTAGATAAGGTTCTCCGAAGAGGAGACCTTTGGGCAGAAAGCTGCACCAAGAAGCCAGGGACAGGAAGGACAAGCAAGGACCCAGGAGGGTGTGTCTGGGTTTGGTAAACAGGAAGAGTGGGTGCAGGTAAGGTAGGCAGCAGTCATATCACACAGGTCTCATAATTAGGGGTAACGTGCACGAGTAATCAATTTAAAGAGAAAGTTGGGGGCTTCAGTGTGCCCAACCTTTGGCCCGTGGGCTACATGCAGCCAAGAATACCCATGATTGTGGCCCAACACACAAGCATTCTTTAAAACATGAGGATATTTTTGTGTGATTAGACGGTGCAATTCTGGTGTGTGAACTTTGTAGGTGGCAATACCGTGTCCTAATGCCAAGAGGTTGGGCATACCTGACTTGCGGGTCACAGTCCGGGTTCACATTTTCTAAGGTTGGGCTGCACAGTCCTGCGGGGATGACGTGGAACCAGGCAAGAACGGAAGCTGCTGCGTGCCCGCTCGGTGCAGACTCCTGGTTTGTACTATAGCTGTGGAAATACAGACTCATGGCTGCACCTGGGGGCTGTGTGGCCCTTTCCTGCAGCTATGATTAAGCACCATGACCAAGGCAACTGAAGGGAGAGTTAACTTTGGATGGTTCCAGAAGGATGAGAAGTCATGATGCTAGAGCAGAGGCTTGTTCTTGGAGCAGAACACAGCTCATATCTTTTAGCAGTCAGCTAAAGCAAAAAGAGCACACTAGCAAACTGGGCATGGTGGCACATGTTTTTATCCCAGCACTCAGGAGGCAGAGGCAAGTGGATTTCTGCGAGTTCGAGGCCAGCCTGGTCTACAAAGCGAGTTCCAGGACAGGCTCCATAGCTACTGAGAAACCCTGTCTCGAAAACAAAAACAAACAGGGCTGGAGAGATGGCTCAGCGGTTAAGAGCATTGCCTGCTCTTCCAAAGGTCCTGAGTTCAATTCCCAGCAACCATATGGTGGCTCACAACCATCTGTAATGAAGCCTGGTGTCCTCTTCTGGCCTGCAGACAGAATACTGTATACATAATAAACAAATAAATAAATATTTTTAAAAAAAAGAAAACAAAAACAAACAAAACAAAACAAAAAAGGCACTGGGTCTGATGTGACATTTTGCAACCTCAAAGCCCACCGCAGTAGCTACTTCCTCCAGAAGGGCGACACCCCTAGACCTCCTTGAACAACACTTCAACTGGGGACCAAGTATTGAAAGGCCAGAGCCTGGGGGGGGGGGACATTTCTCAGTCACACCACCGCAGAGGTAGAGCCAGCTGCACCTGCTCAGGGACTGAACTGTGCGAAGGGGTGGGGGTTTTAAGATGACTTGAAGGTTTAGGGCAGAGTCTGTTCAACACTCATGCAGGCCCCTTTCCTCAAACAAGGGAAGTCAGGATCCGTAGAACTGGAAGTTCCACCCTCCCTATCTTAACCTACTTGGTACGCATCCTTCACCAGAGAGCTTTTCCTAAAGGCAAATGGAGTCCGCTACGAAGGCCCCCAGGAAGCAGCCACCTCCAGCTCTGCTCCACTGAGCCTCCTACGTGTCTACAGTTTATCACGCATAATCATAGCTTCTTTCCTTTGTAAATTTTTTGAGACAGGGTCTATCGTAACCCAGCCTGGCTTTTTAACTCACTAGCAGCCAAAGATGACCTTGATCTTCTGATTCTCCCCACCCCACCCCCGCAACACACACATACACACACACACACACACACACACACACACACACACACACACACCTCTTCTTCCTCAGTGCTGGGACGTCAGCACGGCATCCCAGCATCCCGTTTAAGCAGTCCTGGAGATCAAACCCAGGACTTTGTATGACAGGCACGTATTTTTCCAAGTGAGCTACATCCCTAGTCTACTAACAATTTCTTGAATTTATTTCTTTGTTTGTTTGTTTGTGGTTTTCCGAGACAGGGTTTCTCTGTAGCTTTGGAACCTGGTCTGGAACTAGTGCTTATAGACCAGGCTGGCCTCGAACTCATAGAGATCCGCCTGCCTCTGCCTCCTGAGTGCTGGGATTGAAGGAGTGAGCTACCACCGCCCAGCCAATTTCTTGAATTAAAAAAAAAAAATGAGCTCAGTGGAGAAATGCATCTGTGGTTAAAAGCATGGCTGCGCTTGCAGAGGACCCGAGTTTGGTTCCTAACACCCATGGCAGGGAGCTCACAAATGCCTGTAACTCCAGTTCCAGAGACTCTAATGTCCTCTTTTGGCCTCGGTAGGGAACTGCACGCTATACATACCCATACATATACATGCATGTATATGCATAATTTAAAATAAAAATAAATCTTTTTTTTTAAAAATGAGCCTAGGCTGACAAGAGAGCTTAGCAGGTGAGGGTGCTCCCTAACAAATCTATCTGGGAGTCCCTGGGAGACCCACATGGAGAAAGGAGAGAACTCCAGCAAACTGACCTCTGACCTCCACATGCACCCAGTGGTATGTCTGCATTGCCCCTCCCAAGTAATGAAAAAAAAGCATAGAGGGAGACATATGAAGTCAACCTCTGGTGTCCAGTGTGCACTAGGCAAACACACCCACACACTCACAGTAGTACACACCTGTAATCCCAACACTTGAGAGGCAGAGGTAGGATTGCCTTAAGTATGAGGCCAGCCTGAATAAACTATACAGCAAGTACCAAGCCAGCCAGGGTTCCAGAGTGAGATCCTGTCTCAAATCAAAACAAAACAGCCTTTGGAAATGATCCAGCAGATCATATCTTGACCAGGACGCTTAACGATGCAGACCTCTGGCCCTCTTTCCCCAGTTCTTCTTCATGTCAGAACCCTTTCACTTGTTCCTCTTCCCAAAGTTGCTGCTTTAAATAAATTCCCTCTCTGTTTAAAAAAAAAATAAGGGAGGTGTGGAGGGGTGAAAATGATTCCCGCTTTCTTTAGGGAGGAAGAGCCAAGCCAAGGGCACAGCAAATGAAGGCAGACCTAGGACTAAGACTCAAAGCTAGGTCAAGCAATTGAAAGGCAGAATGAGGGACGAGCGAGGGGAGATGCTGGAAGTTAGAAACTTCTCTAACTTGCCCAACCAGAAATCTGAGTGTCATTCTTGACAAGTCCCTTGCCTCCTACAGTGCTCATCAGTTCAGTCCAGGACTTCTGTCTGCTATGTCCCTCCCGGTAAAGCTAGGGAAATAGGCAGGAATTAGACCACATCATACCAAAGGGTGATGTGTATGCGGTGTGTGTATGTGTGGTGTGGTGTGTATGTGATATGTGTGTATGTGTGTGGTGTGTGTGGTATATATGTGTTGTGTGTGATGTGCGTGTGGTGTGTGTGATGTGTGTGGTATGTGGTGTGTGTGGTGTGGTGTGTATATGTATGGTGTGTGGTGTGTGGGTTGTGTGTGTATTTACTATCTACTACAGATAAGTAGACAGAAAAACCCAGAATCTTTTCACAGCTTGTGCATGAAAGTTACTAAATATTTGTCCCAATTTTGACTATTCTTGATGTTAACAATAGCAGGCTTGATTTTTTTTTGTTTGTTTGGACTT